ATGAATCCGAGTGCAAATGAAAATTACTGGCCGAGGCTATGATTTGGTTTTTCCATTATTCCTGGCTTCCTGTGGGGTGGACCCGAAAAACTTAATTTTCATGTATGTATGGGGTTCTTGCTTATTATAAGCCTTTAGTTTTAAATTTAAGAATTTTTAAGGGATTTTTAAATCATTTTAAATCCTCAGAGCCTGATTTTTTACCCAAAAAAGTAATTATTTTTTCAATAGAAATAATGATCCAACATAGGAATTCATACATTAATGACTTAATTTTCATGTATGTATGGGGTTCTTGCTTATTTTAAGCCTTTAGTTTTAAATTTAAGAATTTTTAAGGGATTTTTAATTAATTTTAAATCCCCAGAACATGATTTTTTACCCAAAAAGTAATAATTTTTTTAAAGCAATAGAAATAATGATCCAACATAGGATTTCATACCTTAATGACGCCGTAGTCAAATGCCCATTTAAATTTAAACTTGAAAATTTTACATTTTCTTAATTTTTGTATAAAATACTTCTGATTTTGCTCTGTTTTGTTATTTTTCTTTATTCTGATTGTAAATATGAACAAGGTCCAACCGTTTATCCAAATTAATGTCCATATTGATTTTCACAAAAGATGGCAAAAATAAATTTAGAAATCGAGCAAGGCAGCTTAGCTTAAATGTCAAATGCAATATTCGTATGCCTTTGGATTGAACAGACAATGCCTTATCGATCTGGCCATTAATCAACTTTATCGAGCTCAAAATTAAATTTAATTGACAACTCATTGAACCCAGCTTGCTTTTCAATTATTTCTACTGTCTACCGCAGAAGCGACCAAACAAATGTCAAATGATAAACATCGTACGTGCAATTCTGCCTGAGCGGCTGAACTGGGCTGGGGATTTAATTTGTAATTTAATAAGCTTGTCTGCAATTATGCAAAATAAATAAATTAGAAATCATGGGACGGGTAGGCAACTTCGCCGACGTGGGGGACTTATTGCACATGATGTGTGATGAGTATGAATGGCGCGCTCGAGTAAACAAACTACAGACTTAATCCAATTAATGTCGAATTTAAATGCTCGAGACGATTTGGCATACACTGACAGGCACCGAAGCACCAGCTCATCCCAACTCGATTGGCCATCGAGCTGTGTGGGGCCATAGAGCGTTAAGGGGGCCAGGATATCGGGGGACTAGGAGCCACCGATTCACATTTCAGCTTGCAGCCACAGCCGCATCGTGTACAAGTTACTCCTGGCAACGTGGGAAAAGGAAACTTTTTCTGCGACGTAGATAGTTTTTGCTAACAGCTCATGTGTGTGTGGGCGGAGCACGGGGCGTGGCAGCATGCAGACTCTATACTCTATCCTCTACTCAGCACGTAGACAGCCTCTCACTCGGGTCATGCACTTGGAAAAAAAATAACAAACAGAACTCTTGAACATCATTTGGTTACACTGCACATTTTTTTGAATGATATTAAGACGAAGGTATTAAAATGATTCACAAAAATAAATGTTGTTGAGGAAATATGTTGATATTTGAATAAAGATAGTTTGTATGTTTTCCAAATTGCCTAATTACCGTTTTTTAATATTTTTAAAATATTTGGTCTTGAAAAAATTCTTAAGTAAATCTTTGATAATTAAATTCAAAATATGTTACTTTAGATTGATTTTCGTTAACTAATATCTTACCAAATAAAATATTGTTGGGATGAACATTATGTAGAACAACCTACTATGTTTTATGAAATCTAAATACATAATCCAATCGCCTTAAATTAATTTTTAACTTAAATCTGTCTTAAATCTGTTGATTTTATTTAAATTGCTTAAAGCAAGGATTTGTTTTTGCCGTAATTTATTTTCTCAGTGTACGTGTGTAGGGAGTGGGAGGATACGTAATGCGTCATGTTCGAGTTTATCGCTTGGGCCCCGAAATTGCCATACTGGGTGGAAAAGAACGTCCAGATAGCCCCTATCCGAGTCGTGGGCCGACGGAACGTGAGTTGAACCTGGCCGCCTGATGGCTGGGTTGTGACCAGAGAGGAACCACCGGCTGGGGGATCGGGCCGTGGCCAATGTCGGTGGCAACTTGGCTCAAACTGACAGCTCGGGGAACGGGGGAGCAGAGAGGAGAACGGGGACATGGCTGAGCATGTGCCAATGTGCTGTTAGTAATGGAACCGCAAATTGAACCCACCAGCTCGGGCGAAGGCGGAAACGGAAGCAGCCAGCTGGCCGCCTGCAATTTGCAACCAGAGGACCTTTTGCAGTTCCAAAAACCGATATGCCTGCTCATCGCTTTGATTCACGATTCGTTGTCCGCCGAAAAACACATTTAATGCATTTCCCTGGTCACAGTAATTAGATTTCCCTTTTATTCAATTCAAATTGAACGACTGAGTGCACAGAATCCCTCGCATAGACGCAGCGAAATAATTTTATTTTGGTCGGCAACTAATTGGCGAAAAAGCGTTCGTGGCTTTTAGTCAAAAGGAAATGGCCCGAACCAAAATATATTGTCTGGCATAAAAGCATAAATTTTGAATTTTAATTTTATGGCAAAAGCTAAATTATAAAACACACTTTCCTCGCAATGAACGTTCATCATTAAGAATTATTTTAGTAAATTGAAATTTGGTTTTGTGTCGAATACAGCACTTTAAGGCTTCTCAATTGTGCCAAAATATGTAGTTACTCTTACTATTTTACTCCTGAATAAATACGTTGATAACTGCCGAATTTTAATGCTGCCTGACTGCCTACTAATTAGATTTCCTATCCATTCGATTCGATTCATTCGATCAATCGAATGAATGCACAGAATCCATCGCATATGCTCACGCATTTGATTTTGGACGAAAACTAAATGGCGGAAAAGCGTCGGCGAAGCGTGATAATTTACCGGGGTCGAACGCGTCCCGTTAGGCGGAAATGCGCCCGTTCACATGCTCAACTGCCACACGGCTTCCCTTTTGCATCCACCTGCCTCAGTGGCTGCGGCTAGTTTGGCTCACCTGTCGCACTTTCCTCGCCTCACTCACCTGACTCAAATCTGCCCTCAAATGCCTGGCTGCACACGGACGCACCCTCACGCACACAAACGCACAGGGGCCACAGCAATTGTCGTCCTGCGGCTTCTTTGTTTTCGTCCTTGCCACTTGACTTTTGCTTTGCTTTTTACTTGTGGCATGCGACTATTGCGGTTACACAGTGACAGAATTTGCAAATTAAAATTTTAAAATTTATTTTTATGAAATGAATTTTCTAATATTATATTTTGTTTAAATAAATTAAAGCTTATTTACGAATTCGTTAAAATTGTCAATTCTAATATTAAATAACTTATTATCCAAAAATTATACAAAAATAGCTATTAAATTTGAGATTTATTAAATATTTTGTAATATTTTTTATTTATAAAATAATATGTATTTATAAATTTTTTTTTAATCCTTTGAAACAAAATATAAGTGTAATAAATGTACGCTTTTTCTGCAACTACTGGTAAATTTGCCAGATTGCTGTAATTTGTTTTTGCGTGTATCAAAGGGATTGACCATTCCGTTCCGTTGTTATGGCAACAGGATTTATGCAAAACGATTTTATTGTTGTCTCGAGCATCCAACTTGAGTCCTTGCTTTTTCTTGGTCGATTGTTGACTTAGTGGTTGTCCGGGGCTTGCAGGTTTGGGCCAGCTGCTCGGCCACTTTAATCACTCAGATGCTCGTGGCTCATAAAATTAAATGCCCTCCTAATGCCGGGCACCCAAGAATGCTGTCAGCGGGTTTGTTAAACGCCTAAAAAACCCGACCTTAAAGTTGTAAATGTGCTAAAAAGCAAGATGAATTGCCGGTTATTATTGCCAACTTCATTTGCTATGCACTCAAAGCGGCGAGCTAACTGGGCCAAGAGCCCCTGAATGAGGGCCATCTTCAAGATGCAAAACGAAATGAAGAGCGGCTCCAAATTAAACCCACCTCGCCTGATGGTCGGCTGCGTTACAAATGAATATTAATTATGTATGGCATGCTAATTCCGCGAATCCATTAATCACAATTATAATTTATGCTGTTGTTTTCACCTTTTTACGTGCATTAATTTTCACATTTTTATCGAACAATTTCCACTGGCACTTGACTGCCCGTTTGCCTCATTAACATTCGCACGGATAATAGAAATTTAAGTTGTAAAATCAATAATGTGCCACATTAATTATTACAGCAACAAAAATACTAGCAAGGACAATGCAATCACGCGACACTAATAAATCCCCGGGGTTATGTACAAATCTGCGAATAATTAATGCGTGAACTCAAAACGGCATTCGTAATGGCCCATACCATTATGGATATTATAATGGCATGAGAGCTGTTGAGAGTGTCGCACTTGTATTATATTAGCTTTGCCACAGGTTAGCATAATCTGGGGTCATTAATAATCAAGATCCAATAATATTATTTAAATTATGGAATGCCCAGGAATTTCGGCAAATATTCCCGATTTATGAGTTTGGAAAATGTGTTGAGTTTATGATTAGATTTTTTATTCCAAGAAACAAAGATAGAGCATTCACATTTCACCACCGGCATGTATTAAACACCGTCAGAAGCTATTTTTAAACAGCAGCATAATTTTATTTATGCTAGAGTAGTTTGTCAAATGAATTTTATGCACTTCCTGCTGACTTTGGCCCAATCAAAATGTGCATAATTTGCATTTTGCGAGTTACATTTGCATTTGCGAAGATGCAGCCGGCCACTTGGATGGCTTGACACTGGCAGCATAATTGTTCAGTTTACATTTCGTATTTATTATTTGATTTTCTGTCATTTCATTATCCTGCCGAACAGCGTTTTCCGCTTAAAAAAGTGAAAATGTAAATATTTCTACGTGTCACCGTTTACTTTATTTTCCTTTGGAAATTATTCAGCCGTTCGCTTCAATTTCAATAATTAATTGAACAAATTGTACTCTTCTCTCTCTCGATTGCAGCTGAACAACAGTAGACAACGTCCTCTGATATCTGGATTTCATTTGTACTACAACCAATGACAACATGCTGAAACCGTTCGCCGTGATTATTGGAATTTTTTATTTAGGTGAGTCCTTCGAAAGTCCTATCTTCGCCGGCCGGTCGGCGTGTATTATTAATTACACTCGTTAAATTGAATCTCGACATGGGAAATATGCGAGCGAACGAATGTTAATTAATCACATTTGCCGATAAACGATTTGTGTTCAAAGTGTTTTTGCTCATTAAGTCGATTCAATTCGGTTCGATGAGTGGTTCAAGTGCCAAATGCATTTTTGATGGTATTTAATTTTTTGATGTTCACGAAAAAATATTATTAATTCAGTTGGCCTTTAATCACTTACGGAAATTGCATTTAAACATGTATGGGTGGTGTTACAGTTTGGAAAGCATTAATAATTTAAATATTTTGTGTGGAAAAGGATATCTTTAATAAGCACTGCTTGTTTTAGCAGTGCCTCTCAAACTGAACTTTGAAGCAGTGCAGAACTGTATTGAAGCTTTAACCAATTAAGTCCTCATAGAAGCTTGGATAAAAAGCACAAAAGCGCAAAACAAAAAGCTTTTAAGATCCTGAGCTTTAAGTTTGGAATAGCTTGTGTGCAGTAAAGTCAAGCTTTTCCCGGGATTTTGTTAGGGGCTTAAAATCTCGTTTTGACTGTACTAAAATTAGTGCATAAAGCTTATGGTGGAAATAGGTTAATTTTACGGTTCTAAAATGCAATGAAAGCTTTCGTGCTTTATTAAAAAAATATTTTTTTAAGGACCTCAACCATTGTAAAAAAAAATATGATACAAGGTGTAACAATTATGTACTTAATATTATACACCTAAAGTTACAAGACTTCATGTAAATAGTTTCATAAATTTCCTGTCAAGTTAATCCATTAAAAACGCTTAAATTCCCGGAACATTTATCAGAGAAATCCATCCAGGAGCATAACTTTAATCGCGCTTCAATCGCCAGACTTTTGCGATTAGAAAGCCACAAGGGCTGCGGTAAAAACCAACACATAACGGCAAACTATAATTATGTTTATCTTAATTATATTGCGTGACGTAAGTTTCTTATTAACCGGCAACAAAGTCACAAAGTCAGCAACAATTTACCATGTTTATGGGCGGCGGGGCCAAAGCCCCAAGGAATTATTATTACATGCAGGTGCCCTCGAAGGTGGCCCACCCACAGTGTTCCTTTCGAGTCGCGTGAGCAATCAGAGCACAGGTGGTCAAATCACCAGAAAGCCAGAAAGTGGCCAAGTCGAGTGGTCACCGCCGAGCGGCGCCTTTGTTCGCCAGGTCCTCCACTTTATTTGCATATAAAACGTGCGATGAGAGCGGGGGAAACGCGTTTCTAATGGAGCCACAACAATTGCCAGGACTACGGACTACGCTGTTGTTCTTGATTTCTTGCGCCTTGCAGCGCCGAAAAGTATGCTAAGAAATTAAGCACATTGGTCATTTTCATTTGCGTGCCTGCGAGCTGTTTTGGGGCCACGCGGCGTATGCGCAATGCAAAGAAAATGCCTCGAGTCCAGCGACACGCAAAAAATAAAAAAAAGCGGGAGAAATAAAAACTGCACGTCATTACCTTGATTTGTGGCGACTTTTGAACTCCACCCCTTTTGGCCTTTCGGGCCTTTTGACTTACTGAGTCAAATGGCTCTTACATAAGCCATACAAATTTCGCACTTAACTTTAGCAGGCCTCAATTATTTATGCTAATCAAAGGCATTCAAAGGCCGCTCATCGATAGTTCAAGTATCTTCGCCTGGCGATAAATCAAAATAATTAAGTCGCCTTAAATTGACTCGAGTCGCAGTGCTGCGGGGTCCATAAAGTGACTGGCATTAACCAAAACTCCCAAGTGGGGCTAATAAGCTTGAGACAGCGCTAATTTTACCCTCATTAAACAAGCTGACATGCCAGGCCCAGAGACCAGGACGGAAAGCAGGACCAAAACCAGGACCAGATTGGTGGCACACAGGACGATGCCAGGCTAACGGTTTAGAGAGCTCAATAAACTCAAAGGGCTGGCCGACGCCGTCGTCCTTGCTCCCCCCTTTAACCACCCTTACCCCCTCACCATCCCCCTGTTAACCCCACAGAAACCCCCTCGATTGCCATGCCAGCAAGCGTCGCCATTTTGGCAGTCATTAACGGCAAACTGCTTCATCATTTAATAACCCAAAAGTGAGCTGGTTAAATGCCGAGCAATGCGATGGGGCTCTTTTGGCCCAAATACTCCCCCACAAAAACGGCACACAGACACACAAACACACAGACACTCAGACGAACAGCTTGGGCTGGCAAGAAAAAAGCCAGAGTGGCACCGAACATGCCACACTTATTTTTATAGATTTCATTTTAACACCGAAAAAGGCAAACGCATGGAAACTTAACCGATGCCGTTCCAGACCCTCTCTGCCACGCCCCCTTTTCCCCGTTCACCTCCTTTTTCGCTTGGCAGGCCCGAGACTACATAAAATTGGCAAGGCGTCAAAACGGGCGGGCAAAAAGAAAAAAAAGGGTTCATTATGGCAATTTGCTTAAACTCGGCGGATGCTCCTTTTGCTTTTTTCTTCGTTTGTAGTGGGTATCTTAAAGCCCACAATGATTTCGGGGGTTAACTGAAAAATAGCGGCATCATTTGTCGGTCTGGCTTTCACATTTCACATTCGCCACACTTGGCGTGTCGGCTGGGTTCATAAAATATAATGAAAAGCAACATTTCCTGGCTCCCCGGCTAATTCCTCTATACCAACTCCTGTCACCTTAAGGCGACCAAAGTTCAATGCACTCCGTTGCATTTCTTTCGCTCCCCAGTTTTTCCAATATGTGTGCTTAGTGTCGCTTTGTTTGGACATTTCCAAAGAGGGGTTGTCAAGTCGGACGACTTGGATTTATAACATGATTTCAGTGCAGCAGGCTGTACAAAATTTTTAATTGAGCCTCGATGGCAGTGCCACAGACGACACGCAACCAGGCAACTCGGCCAGGACTCGAGCCTCAATTGGCATTAGTAAAATATTTCAAAAAGCACTTAAGCTACGGCTATGTGAAAAGGCTAAGGCACCCACTACAAAGAGCCTACACAAGGAACAACGGAAAGGTTATAGGTTTCAGATGTTGCTGGTGAAAAAACCAAAATGTTTTCTAAATTACCAGAAAAACTACTTTCCTGGAACTTTTTACCAATACATTTTTTCTGTAGTTTATTTTACTTTTCCTGATTTTTGACATAAGATTGAAATTAATTTTTAAATGATTTCAGAATTGTTAATTTGTCAAAAAATCAATTCTTATAGTATCTTATATCTTATAGTATTTATATGGTAATATAGGGGATATATTAACAATTTATTTATTACTATTAGAGGAGAAGATATTAAGAGTGAAAAAAACAATTGTTATGATAATTAAATCTGCAGAAGATACATAATTAATTTTGTTGTTCCTTGGTCTTTTTAAATTCAAAACAAATAAATATTTTTTTTTAAATTTCAGTGTTTTTCAAAGTTTGCCTATTTGCATGTGATTATTGCAGTGGAACAAAAATACTATTTTATTTCGAGCACCAAAGTCTCAATGACTATCAATTGGGCGTTCCTAAGTAATCGAATTTATTCTCTTATTAAGAGTTCGAACTTTCTATCATGAAGAGAAAATTAAAAACTTTATTCTATTTATATTTTCGATTGTGAAATTTCTTTTTTCTCTATTTAGAATTGTTCTGGGCGTTTGCCCAGTTGTCGTCGCTGCGGCCGGAAGTCCTTGCCGGAGAAAATTGGAGAGAGAAAGCCGCTTGGCGTGTTGACTTTTCATTTTTCGTGCGTGCCTAATTATATTTGCGTGTGCATGGCCAATTGCAGGCCATGGAGGAGCCTTGGGCTCTGGTCTGACCTGTTCTGGTCGGCTTTAAAAGGATATTTAAAAGGATATTAGCGAGGAGGCATCATCGGCAGCAAGTGACAAGTGACATGTGTAGGCGTCGCTCGATCTGCTCGCCATCGGCGTGACCAGCGTTGCCGTGTCCTTGGGTGTCCCGCAATGTTGACTTTATTGTCGGCAATATGATTTGTCACCTCGCCGGACAGGACATGGCAAACGGACAGCTCTCGTGGCCGCCTGACAGATGAGTGTCTGCCCGGCGGGGAGAGTCCAGTTCACTTGGCACTGGGACATGGCGTGTCGGCTTTGTGGTCACCATCTCACCACCTCGCCCACCTTGATCGATTACCATTACATCCCGAAGCCGAAGCCAGAGAAGAAGAGGGACCTTAATGGGTAATAAGTAGATTGCGTGATTGTTCCCAGAGCTCGTCGCATTTTGCAGTGATTGCTCACTTTTCGACACTTTCGGGCGATGGCAGACAAAGGCCAAAAGGTCGGTTGGGGGGGATTAGCAACAACCCTCCGACTTCAAGTGGGCGTCCATTAATCAAGTCGGACCAGAGATGTGTATGCCTTGGGATTTTTCGATGGGCGTGCTGCGTTGCGGAACTATTCGTTTGCATTTTCTATTATTATGAAGACATTCCGTGTCGTATGCCTAAGTTTTTTGTTTATTTCTGTTTTAGTTCTGTGTGTTTGCCAAGTAATTAGTGGCATAAGGCGAAAGTTTTTGAGGCAAATGTGTTGGCATTTGATTTGGAGGGGCGCTTCCTGAACAGAAACAGAAGCGAAAGTGCCGCTTAATATGTATTCAAATTAAGGTCAAAGGCCACGCATATTCCCAGAATTTATTCCTCCGTAAAAGGCATTTAATCAGTCGTGCTGCCGGGAAATTTACACATTTATCGCTGCAGCGAATCGCTTTCAATATCCCTTCCACTCGATCTAAATGGTTTTATGCGTGGGACCCTCAGTCGAATATGTTAAACAGATAGAATGGTATTCCATTCGATTTCGTTTATTTTTCGGGTTCGTTTTTAAATTTATTTCCAAACATTCCTCGGCCGTAATTGTTTCATGCTTGAATTTACAATTGTTTCGGCTGGGGTTTTCTTTGGTTTGCCATAAATTTAAGGCCAGAATGTTTGAGGGGGCGTGGCGGGGGCGTCGAGT